TATGTTTTCCTATTTTTTTAATAAAATTTGCCATAGACCAAAAAAAAAGAAGAAGAAAGAAAGAAAAGAAAAAGAATTGAAATAAGGCAACAGTTGCTCAAATGAAACATTAATGATAATACTAACTGGTATTTAGATTTTTTTCAAGTGCCTGTTATACACATCCATCATCTGATATGTCTATTTAAAAAGTAGCCTGTAGTGTTATTACATTAGATTTTTTAATGTCATCCTTGTGTAACCACAGTGAAAATGACTATAAGATACATACATATACAAAAAAGAAATTGAGAAAAAAATTAATACATTTCATGAACAAAATCCACACAAAAGAAAACAGCAATGCTGAAGATGAGGGTCAAAAGTACTGTTAGACATATAAAAGACAAGTTAACAAGATGACCCAGGTTAACTCTCTCATCAGTAATTACCTTAAATGTAAATTAACCAATCAAAAGTTAGAAATTAGCAGAATGGGCAGAAAAATAAGATCTAAATATATGCTATCAAGAGGAGACTTATTTTGTATTTTTTCCCAATTTCAATACATTTATTTTTTTTTTATTTTAAAGAGAATGAAACGAAATAATGAGAATGATACTGAATTTCAAAAACCAGGAAGTAGAAAATTAACAATAGTTACTACACTGTACATTGTTAGTCTCTAAATAGTTGATCAGACTACCAGATATAAGCATGCAAAGTTATCAAACAATATAAGCACTAAGGTGTTTCTCTACTTCAGTTGCTATAACTTCAGAAATTTCAGATGTGTAGCTTCTAATTTCTTCTATGTCTGTCTCCTGGACATGTTCTGGGTGAGATAATAGGCATGCAAAATTACAATATAAGCCCTACATTGTTTCTTTACTTCACTTGCTGTCCTTTCAGAAATTTCAGGTGTGTAACTTGTGATGTCTTTTGTGTCAGTGTCTCCTGGACTTGTTCTGGGTGGGCTGGAGGTCTGAGATTACACCTTGCTCCTTCCTCTTGACATTTTCCTGTGTTCCTGTTTATCAGCTGGCTGCTGAGTCCTAAGCACTTCCTGCGCTGGCTGCCTGACCTGCAGTTCAGGGGATTGGGCTAGGAATCTGGGTTCCTCTGATCCGAAGTCCCCGAGTGATGGAGAGATGCAGGGCAGTGCCTCACCGATGCTTGCCCTATGGCAGGAGGGCCTTGGGATATAGCCTCCTCCCCTCTGGGCCCTTGGCCATGGGTGGCTTCTCCTCCAGGCATTGAAGGCTGGCTCATGGAGGTGGCATCCAGTCCCACTCTCAAGACCATATGTTAGATCAAAAACCAGTCTCAGTACGTTTATAGGGATTGATGTCATAAAGAGTAAATTCACTGACCAATCAGAACTAAATTGCAGATTAATAATTGATAACTGGAAAATACCCAAGTATTTGGAAATTAAGTTATTCAATCTGTAATCTATTGCTGCTTTTAAAAAAGCATCCCAGACTTTATGGCAAAAGGGATAGTGTTTTATTGCCTGTCAGGATTCTGAATATTTACTGTGCATATCTTTTACTAATTTTGTACAACTACATTTATTTAGCCAGAGGATTGGTTGGGCTAATCTGAGAAGGTTGGACCCTTTCTCATGTAGTTTTTCATCCCCAAATAAGTGAAAATGGGCTACCCTACATGTTGATGGCACATTGTAAGAAGTCAAGTCCTAATAGCCTTTATGGGTGAGGCTCTGCTCCTATCAAAGTTAATGAGGGAGAGAACTACTTTAGTACCAGAAGGCAAGATTGACTGGTTGGGACCATCAGTTTAACAGTTTACCACAATTATATAGCCTTGGTTAAATCATTTTTTTCCTCTGTGAAAGACAATTTATGATATAGGATTATTTTGTAAATTAAATGAAAAATGTAGTCATGTAGTTTCTAGTACATTTGATAAAAGTTATTTGGAGTGTTTTTTTTTAATACCCAAGATAGCTGGGCATGATGGTGCATGCCTATTACCCAAGTACTTGGGAAGCTGAAGGAAGAGGGTCACCACAAGTTCAAGGCCAGCCTGAAATAATGTAGCAAGATCCTGTCTCAAAAAAAATAGAAGATAATAAAGATAGAGTGGCAGATACTGTTATTACAGTTGTAGTCAAAAGAGACCTGACCTTGGAGCAAATGAAGTAGGCCCAAGTTAAACTTTAAAACTGTCAAAAAATTTCACAAACTTTGCTGGGCGTGATAGCTCATGCCTGTAATCCCAGCACTTGGGAGGCTGAGGCAGCAGAACTGCTTCAAGTTCAAGACCAGCCTGGGCTACAAAGTGAGCTCCAGGCCAGCCTGAACTGCATAGCAAGACCCTGTCTCAAAAAGACATAAATAAATTAAAAATAAATAAATAAATTCACAAACTCAGCAATAATTTGAACTATAGTGTATTCAACTCAAGGTAATTTATTGTATAAATACACTATAATTATATGTCCTAAAAGATTATTTTAGAAACTCTAAGGTTCAGAAAATGATTTGGCTAAATAGTATCTGAAATGCCATCAAGTTTACAGAAAGTGGGCCAGGGATATAGCTTAGTTGCACCAGTGCCATCTGACAAGCACAAGGTCCTGAGTTCGATTCCTGGTACAAAAAAAAGGTTTACAGAAAGCTGTGCTTTGAAAATTTTTAGTCAGTTGGGACATCATCAAAACACTAGAAAATTCTACATTTAAACAATTCTACATTTAAAATATGGACAGCTGGCCACACAACTATAATCCTAGAACCTGGAAGGCTGAGACAGGAGTATGCTAAGTCTGAGACCAGTCTAGGCTACATAGTGAGATCCTGCCTCAAAAAAAAGAAAAGAAAGAAAGAAACCTCTAAGGATTTCAAGAAAAACAAATGAAACTCTCTTCTCCCTATTCTTATTGACAACATGTATCATTTTTGTGATCCCAAAAGTATACAGGCATTTCTCTCCACCAGCGAGAAAGCAGTCAGTTCTGCAGTGAATATCAGTATTCTCTAATTTAATTCATTTCTGACATTTTGTACCTGGAAATAGTATCAGACTCTGCAAGTTGAGCGATCAGCCCGAGACTTCCCTTGCTCAGATGTTAATCACAAAGCCAATCTTCCAGAACTTCTAACTGTCTACAAATTGGGGTTCCCACAACCCTCCTTTGGACTCAATTAATTTGCTACCACAGTTCAGAGAAGTCAGAGAAATACTTACATTTACCCATCTAAAAAGATTCAAATAAACGCCAGAGGAAGACATAATGCATAGTACAAGGTCTGGAGGAGCTCTGGGTACGGGAGTTTCCACCCCCATGGAGTTGGTGTGTGTTATCCTCCCAGAACACGGATGAGTTCTTGGTAACCTTCATGCCATAATTCCCCATGTTCAGCTGTCCAGAATCTCTCAAAACCTGTTGTTTTGGAATTTTATGGAGTCTACATTACATAGACATTATTGAAGTGTGAACAACATAGAAAAATGACTGAACAAAAAAGGGTGTGAGCTAATACTAATAGCTTGAGTGGGAACACCCAACAGGGCTTCTGTATTCAGATATAGGCCTTTTTGCGCAGTATTCTTTCCTCCCAGATACAGCCCCAAGCCCCTTCTGAAATGAGGCCTTATGATCTACTATGAGATAAGGTAGCTCAGAGAATTTCACTGTAATCAGCTCTAAGACAGTAAGGAAAAATCAAAGTTATTTTTATGACCTCCTTTAAAAGATGAGAAATTCTAGTTCTGTGGCCTGTCTTGGAGAGAAAGGAGGGCAGGTAAAAAGTCAGAAATTTTACTTTCTGGGGCCTAAAACACCCCAATATTATAACAGACAACTGTCGTTTATCTTTGTTGTGCTGAAGCTGTTTCAGAACTTCAAAAACTAAGGACAACAGGCTAAATTATTTAATAAAAGATTAGGCCTATTGTTCTAATCAGGAAATAACAAAGGCTATAGAAGTTGTAACCTGGAAACCTCAAGGACAGAAACCAAAATATGTACCCAGTACTGTGTATCTAGTAGGAGATAGCAATGTTTAATTGTGAAACTGCAGTATGAGTTTGCAAATTCCATGTTCATCGGTTGTATGATAAAGTACTGGCAAAAATAAATCTTACAAAACTAAATTACTCAGTGTTGAGAAAATAAAATATACTTTGTTTCCTTGCCTTAGCAATTAAGTGACTTATATTTATGATTTCCAAAAAAGACATTGTTGCTTTCCCCTTTTCTTTCTTTAGCATTTCATTGCTAAATACATACTAGAATGGTGATGAAACATACACAAAGGAATAAAAGTTGGAACCTGCTAAATTTAAGAGAGCCAGGCATGGTGGCACATCCTATAATCCCAAAACTCTGGGAAGTGACACAGAAAGATCCTAAGTTTGAGTCCAGCAAAAGCAATTTAGCTATTTAGTGAGACCCTTTTCAAAATTAAAAAATGAAAAGAGAATTTTGATTTTTTTTTTTTTTAGAAAGATAATATCTTGCTCTGTGCCAGGTTAGCCTTGAATTTGCAGCAGTCCTCCTGCCACAACCTCCAAAGTGCTGGGCTTACAGATGTGTGCCACCATGCCTGTTTCAAAAAAGTTTTCTAAAGGATTGAGGACTATAGCTTAGTGCAGAGGCTCTGTGTTCAATCCTTAGGACCAGAAAGTGAGGGAGAAATAGGCCTTGTGCAGAGTGGGGCTGGTGTGAACAGTGTGAGAGCACACAGTGTTAGAAAATGGAGCATAGTGCTATGAAAACATAAAGCATGTGGGAAGAAATGAAAGGAAAGAATCCTGTCAAATTGTGAAAGCTGTTTTACTCCAGGTGAAAAATTAGTTAGTTCTATACTTAATATGTAGTCTGGAAATTTTTAAGCAAGAAAGTGACATAATGTCATTAATACACTATAAAATATGGATTGTAGAAGAAAGAGAAAAGCCCAAGTCTTGAGTTAGATAGCTAGTTGGGGAATAATTTAATGTGATGGAGAAATGGCCTTGATTTCTAACTCTTATTTTTATTTTCTTAGATAATTAAGTTGAAAGCAGAAGCCCGGCTTGACCTGCTAAAGCAGATTGGTGTTTCTGTGGACACATGGCTGAAGAGTGCCATGAACCAAGTAATGGAAGAACTGGAGAATGAGCGGTGGGCCCGCCCTCCCACAGCAACGAGCAATGGCACTCTGCACTCGGTATGGTCTCTTTTCTTGGATACGGTGGGCTTTTACCAAAGGGCCCTGTTCTTGGCTATACAACAGTTGGCCAAAATTTGAGTTTTATTCTTTTTTTTGTCTTTTTCCTTTTTACCGGTACCGGGGATCGAACTCACGACTTCCTGCTTGCAAGGCAGGCGCTTATGCCGCTGAGCTAAATCCTCAGCCCCTGGCCAAAATTTGAAAAGGTGATGTTTTGATTTTGGGTTAGATTTCTTGTTCAGCCTGTCACTTAAACAATGTAGGAAAAATAAAAGAAAGAATAAAACCAGTTTGTTGAGGTGGATTTTTCTGTGGGCTGGACATTGCCCCACATATGCTAGTAAAGTACGTTAACACTGAGCTACTGCGGTGGGATTTTTTTGTTTGTTTGTTTGTTTGTTTTTGTTTTTGTACCAGGAATGTAACTCAGGACCTCACACCTGGGGATTTTTTAATGTGATATGAAGGTACATCATTGCTAATTGGGTTCTCAGTGCCTCTACCAAACTCATCATTCATTCATGAAGTACACAGGCTTCTTGTCTAACAGTGGTAAAATAGAAAATTTATTTAAGTGTTTCTAAAGTCCTCAGAGGTCTTGCCTAGTGAAAATGAATGTAAACTTCTGAACGGTTGTAAAAAAAAATCTTAAATGTGAACCCGCCACAGTGTTACATACCTGTAGTGCCAGCTACTTAGGAAGATGGAGCAGAGGATCAGTGCAGCCCAAGAATTTGTGGGCAGTCTGAGCAACATAATGAGAAGCCGTCTTGAAAATGAAACAAAAGTTTTGGAGTGCGGTAAGAGCTGACTCCAAGGTGCCTTCGGGTTCCAAGGGTCATTTCATTCTAGTCAGAAGAAGACAGTGCAGGTGGGGTTTGACAAACAAGGCCAGGACACAAACTCTAGTTTTCTTACTTTCACATCAAGGGTTTTTTTCACTGTGATGTCATCTAGTTGAACTTTAGTTTGTCTTATTGGAAATCTGAGTACCAGAAAAGTTAGTAATTTCCACACTATTTCATAGGCAAGTAAGCCAAGCATGGCAGCATATGCATATAATCTCAGCACTTAGGAGGCTGAGGCAGGAGGATTGCCACAAGTTTGAGGCCAGCCTGGGCTACATAGTGACTTTAAGGCCAGTCTAAACTATATAGCATAATGCTGTCTCAAAAGAACTAGAAACCAAACAAAACATAACACATAGGAAAGTATACGGTGCATAATAGTCATACTAAAGTAACCGCTACTGCCACCTCCCCACCCATCACTCTTTGTTATCTTACTTCCTTAATGGTAATTATCAGTTGTACTTCAGTTCTTTATTTATTTTCTTCTGTTAATTGTCTGTCTTCCTCTCTAGAATGTAATTATCATATCTGCCTTGTTCACAGCTCTGTACAGCAAGGTACCAGTGCATATTAGGTACCTGATGAATATTTGTTGAAGAAAGAGATCAACAAAGATTTGAGTGGGTAGGTGAAAATCACAGCAAGTTAAAAGATAGCTCTAACCTCCTAAGTTCTCACCATATCCATAATGCCTATGTTTACAATTTTGCTAGAGAACTTAGCCAAAGTTTTAAAGCATTCCTGGAAGTTTTACAAATTTTTTTACATATCATTCTATTTTCTAATGGGTATACATAACAATCTTGACTTTGAGGTTAAAGGATTTATCCTGTTTTCATTAAAACAAAGTTCCTCTATGTCAAGGGATATTTTTTCTCATTGCATCTTTTAAAAGTCATAATTTCCATCTGCTTCAGGTTGCTCTGTGGTACCATTTGTGATACCATAAAAACAAATTCCAGGATAAGACTTCCTTGTGGCTGCTACAGCAACACTGTTTGCAACCACTCAAACTCTTGAGTGTGGTTGGGCTAACACCTTTTCTGACTAATCCCCAGAAGGGCCACATGTTACTTGACTTTGTGCTTACTTCCTGGTCACAAGTCTTAATCTGTCTGCTCAAAGAGTTTACAAGCTCAGAGAGCAGACAGACCTTTACAGATCTTACTGATACGTAACAGTGTATGACTGGACCACCATGTGATAAACTTGAAGTTGCTTACTTTTGACTCATCAGCACACATTGGAAAAAGTTTCTCTGAGTTTCTGAGAGAATATAATGTTAAATGCTTCCAAGGTCTCCTCCAACTTAAAAATCTCATAGTTCTGTGAAATATTATCAGAAAGCTCAGTACTAGCTAAACAAATAGGAAGGAAGTTTGCCCCAGGAAATAAATGTCACATGAGATACTCCTTAAAGAATTTTAACCAGAGATAAGAAGGAAGCAGTTGTGGCTGGTAGCCTGTGGGTAACCATTGGCCCATGTAGAGCTGTCATATCCTCTTGAAGAGGGCATTGTGCAGTCTCATCCTGTTTTCCTTCCATCCTAGGCAGTCTCATGGAGCCAGTATCTTCCCTCTTTCAGCTGAGAGATTATATTTGGAGGAAAATCTTCTAATAATATAAATAAAAGAGATACTCAGATACAAAATAGCTTAATGAAGCCCCAATAGTTAACCTTATAAATCACAACAGCAAAATAACAGTGAGGATTGTGTCTCTTCATATTGAGAACTAGCTGAGGGATATGAAGCAAAAATACTGTCTGGTGGCCAAATATTTTTCTTCCATTATAGATGCCAACAAAAGTATTAGTCATCTGGAAAACATGATTGGTATTACTGTTAGACAGTAACAGTGTGAGGAGTGCCCTATGAAAGATAATGTTTGTTGTTGTTTTGTTATTGGGGTTTGTTTTTGTTATTGTTGTTGTCTTTTTTTGGTGATAAGAAGGATTGAACTCAGGACCTTGTACATGCTAGGCAAGGACTCTACCACTAAGCTGCATCCCCAGCCCAAGATAAATGTTTTTAAAATATAAGTATTTCCTTTATAGAATAAGGAGCTATACATGGATATTAACTCTGTACCTTCTGTCTCATGCTGTGAGAAAGAATATAGAACTGGGAAGGTAAACAGAAAAGAATCCCAGAATATAACCACAGTGTTTTACAGAGAGCAGTGTACTGATACAAATACATAGTTGATGGATAACTGAAGCCTACAGTTTCCTATGATTGGATCACCAATGGCCCAGTCATCTTTTCTTTTCTTTCTTTCTTTCTTTTCTTTTCTTTTTTTTTCTTTTTTCTTTTTTTTTTTTTTGGAACCTAGGATTAAACTCACAACCTATGCCTGCCAGGCAGGTGCTTGTGCTGCTGAGCTAAATCCCCCATCACCCTTTCTTTCATCCATTCTCTTACTTTCCTACCTTACTCAAAACTCATGCCCACTTTACAGCCTAGCTTTTTAAATTATATTAAGTTCACATAAAATTAAAAAATACAATAGTTCATCCTTTTAACATCACAGATAGCAATGTGATATATTTCCTTCCTCTTTTATCTATTTTTAACTTACAAGTGCAAATCAAGTATATTTATGGTATACAGCATATTTAAAAAATTATTCCTTCCTCATTCCATTTTACTGTTTTGTTAATGCATTTGTCATAAAAGTTAATTTTGCATATTTTTTCTAATCTTTTTTTCTAATCTAAACTCTTGTCACTGAAAGACCTTCATAATCAAGATTTTAATGTCTATATAATATTATATTAGAAAGGCGTAGCAAATTCACTTTTATATATTCAGTATTCAGATTGCTTTCAGATTTGCACTCTTCTAAATAACACATGAACAAACACTTTTATACATGCAGTTGGCCTTCCATATTCCTGGTATCCATATATATGGATTCAACCAACCACAAATCAAAATGAGTTGGAAGAAAACAATCTGTACTGAACATACACAGATTTTTCTATTATCAATATTCCCTAAACAATATAGTATAACAACTATTCATTTAGCGTTTACATTGTTTTAGGTAATATAAGTAACCTAAAAATAGTGTATGGAAGGATATGCGTAGGTAATGTACAATTACTGCATTTGATAAAAGGGACTTTGAACATCCATGATTTGATTATCTGTAATGAGTCTTGGAACCAGTCTTCAATGAATACTAAAGATAACTATATAGACATTCCTTGTGTAATGACTGAATTTCAGTCCTGCAACTAGATCCTTTCATGAATTGATCACTAAATGAGGAATTGCATACAGCAATGTACATTACAATATTCAGAACAAAGAAATAAAGGAAACTCAACTTGGTGACTTTGCTTTTATTTGCATAATTCTCATGTGCAATACTGTAATGTGCACACAGAACATAAAACTGCAGTACTATACCGTACAGCCTAATCATCAAAAATTACAGCATGATATCAACAAGGTGTACTGTCCAAAAAAAAAAAAAGATGTTGAGGCTCTACCAACAAGATGTACAGAACTGTACCCCCCCAAAAAAGAAGGATCATAAGTCCAAACACAATGGTTTGGTCATAAATCTAAAAACTTATTAAATAGATGAGTCATTGAGCAAAGAATATCTGTGTTAAACATCATCTTATCAAAATACCTCAGTGAAAATGTTTTTTTCTTTTAAAGATAGTAAAATACAACAAGGTGAGACAGAACAAAGCCAGTCAAAACAATGCAGCAAAATTGGTAGAGCAGGATACCAGAAAAACAATAATAGCTACCATAGTATATCTTGTTATCTTCACAGTAGTTATCTATTCTATCAGTTAAACCAAAATCAAACCAAAAACAAAACACAATAGAACCAATCAAAACAGAATATTGAATAAAGCAAAAACAGTTAATCACAACAAAGCAAAACGGTGAAAAGAGTATTGGAATTCAAAGACAATATAGGAAGAAATCTCCCATATTTGCTATATTGCATACTATCATCTCTGGAGAGATGCTCAGACCTCTGGCCCCAGGCCTGCATAATCAATCAAACAATACAAACATTTGGTCACTTCATGGACCTTAGTTGCTATCAACTCAGGCTGTCCTCAGAACCATCTGGTTGCTAACTGGATGGGGAGGTATGGGGGATGTTGATTCTCA